TAACGGCCTTTTAAACTAACTCTTACTTTTATTTCAACAATTGGAGGAAAGATGTAGCATCTATACTCTAGTCCACGGGTCCTCTGCTTTGTCGGTTGTGATTGGGAGTATGATAGGTCCCCTGCTTTGTCGGTTGTGATCGGGAATATGATGAATGAATGAATCATGCAGGTGTTTCACCGATCTAGTCAAGGAACAATTAAGTTCCGCTTTGCCATCTTTGTTTTATGGCATAAGTCACTCTATCAAGGGAGCTTGACGGGAGAGCAGGCACACACCACATCGTCTCCAGCTCCACGCAGTCAGCAGACATTCGAGACGCAAAAAGTGAATGCATAGTATGAGTGTAAATACTTACCCATTATAACAATACGACCCGTCGAGAAGAGTTTCAGGGAAGTGCTGGAATCCTTATCCGCCTTGAAGTTCAACCCAGGCGCCAGTTCCGGCTCGTAGCTGTGGTGGGACAGAGAGGGGACAAAAAAGCGGCATCCAGTTAGCAAGGAAGCTAGACAAGGGGGGCAGATTAGCCATAGGCCTAGTATTGAAACACACAGGCAAACAAGGTAAATTTTGGGCAAACACCAACATCCAAGAAATCACGGCAACGACTGTGGAAGGCAGTAGACCCGTCTTTATTGGCTAGCTGCGTCTTAGGACATTGTTAGGAGTTGAGTACGGATCAATAGGACGGTGACAATTGCTCCAATCGCTCGTCAAGCAAGATACTCAGCAGCACGTACATTGAGACAATCCCGATGCCCGTTGCCTCCTCCTCCTTCTCCTCCTCTGCGTTTAGGAACGGGTCGTCTGCCCAAGTCACTAGAACTACGTTTGTCGTCTTCCATTACCAGTGGCATAATAGTGCGAACGATCCGCAACATTTCCCCCTACGTTGCTTTAGGTGCGAGAGGTAAGCCCTGTTGGGGCTGCTGGCATCAACACACGACAGATGACTGTTACTTTGTGGTTCACAAAGACTAACACTATCGTGACAGCGTGTGAAATAGATAAAATAAAAGAAGGCGTGGGCAACATCAGTCTCATTTCTCTTTTCCATGCTTGGCTCCCAGGACGCAGTGGGCAACTGGACGTA